GTACTGGTCCGTGCACCTACGTCCTACGCACCGGCGACCGCGCGGGTGAGCCGTGCGGGGGTGCGCACTCCACCCAGCGCTGCTTTGGCCGCCTAACGGACGCTTGGCGTCACCAGTTCCCTGAGGCCACTGAGATCCCTCGCTGGGGCGAGCTGTCTAGGGCGGGAGTAGCTATCTTTGACCTTGACTTTGATGCTATTCTTGCTGCCATGTATGCTGTGACTATTAGTGATGAGGGTGACTGTTACTGGTGTTTTCTGCCCGACCCGGGCATTGGGACTGCTGCTCTAGGTACTGGTGAGGCTGCTGCTCTAGGTGCTAGCGAGGCTGCTGCTCTAGGTGCCAGTGCGTCTGCTTCCTCAGGTGCTGGTGAGTCTGCTCTCTCAGGTACTGCGTCGGCTCCGGCCTCCCACACCTTCACTCTTGACTCGGGGGCTTCTCGCTCCTTCTTTCGAGACCGCACCACACTCACGCCGCTTGGTCGGCCAGATGCAGTCTCTCTGGCAGACCCCTCTGGGGGTCCTGTCCTTGCTCACTTCTCCACTGTCCTCCCGTGTCCGGCGGCCCCCTCTGGCACCCTGTCTGGTCTTTACCTCCCCTCGTTCTCTACGAACTTGGTGAGTGGTGCTGACCTACAGGATGCGGGGGTTCACCAGTTCACTCCTGCGAGCCAGCGTGTGACCCACTGCACGGACGCTCGGACGGGCCGACACTTGGCCACGTTTACACGTCGGCTGGGGTCGAGCCTGTACACACTGACCACTGAGTCTCCTCCAGTCACTGCGTCTGGTCAGGCAGCTGCGTCGGGTCAGGTGTTTGCTGCAGCGTCCAAGTCTGGTCCTGAGTCTGCCCCCTGCTCGTGTCGCCTCCTGTCTCACGAGACTCTCCTCTGGCACCACCGCCTTGGTCACCCCTCCCTGCCTCGTCTCCGAGGCATGGCCTCCCGTGTCCTTGTCTCTGGTCTTCCCCGGTCCCTCCCTCCCCTTCCTCCGGGGCCTGCCCCTACCTGCGTCCCCTGTGTCGAGGGGCGGCAGCGTGCTGCCCCTCACTCCTCCCAGTTTCCTCCGACAGAGGCCCCGCTGCAGACGCTTCACATGGACGTGTGGGGCCCGGCCCGCGTCCGTGGACAGGGTCACGAGCGCTACTTCCTGCTGGTGGTTGACGACTACTCGCGTTACACCACAGTCTTCCCCTTGCGCAGCAAGGGTGATGTCACTGAGGTGTTGATCGACTGGATCCGCGCAGCTCGTCTCCAGCTCAGAGAGAGTTTCGGCTCGGACTTTCCTGTTCTGCGTCTGCACTCTGACAGAGGCGGAGAGTTCTCCTCTGGCCTTCTGCGAGCCTACTGTCGTGCACGAGGCATCCGCCAGACCTTCACGCTTCCGGACTCTCCACAGCAAAATGGGATTGCTGAGCGCCGCATTGGCATGGTCATGGACGTCGCCCGTACGTCCATGATGCATGCGGCTGCCCCCCATTTTCTGTGGCCGTTTGCGGTTCGGTACGCGGCGCATCAGATCAACCTTCAGCCCAGGGTCTCCATGCCGGAGACCTCCCCAGCTTTGCTGTGGACGGGGAAGGTTGGCGATGCGTCTGCGTTCCGTGTCTGGGGATCTCGGGCGTTTGTCCGCGACTTGTCTGCGGACAAGCTGTCCCCTCGTGCTGCTCCCTGCGTCTTCCTTGGCTTCCCCCCTGACGCGCCAGGGTGGCAGTTCTACCACCCCACCTCTCGCCGTGTTCTGTCCTCCCAGGACGTCACGTTTGACGAGTCGGTCCCCTACTACCGTCTCTTCCCCTACCGCACTCCGTCCCTCCCCCCGCCTCCGCTCTTCCTTGTGCCAGGTCCCCTCCCGGTAGACCCCCTTCCCCCTCAGGGTCCTGCCCCTTCAGGTGTGTCCCAGGTAGACGCAGTCGAGCCTGTGGAGGTCGCTGGTGACTCTGGTGCTGCTGGGGGTGCTGAGCCTGGGGGTGCTGACTCTGGGGGTGCTGAGCGTGTGGGTGCTACGCCTGGGGGTGCTGAGCCTGGGGGTGCTGAGCCTGAGGGTGCTACGACTGGGGGTGCTGAGCCTGGGGGTGCTGAGTCTGGGGGTGCTGAGCCTGGGGGTGCTACGACTGGGGGTGCTGAGCCTGGGGGTGCTACGCCTGGAGGTGCTGAGCCTGGGGGTGCGGAGCCTGAGGGAGCTGGGCCTGCTCGTGTGGCGTCTGGCGGTGCTGGGCCTGGAGGTTCTCTGGGCCTGCTCGTTCATTTTCACACTTCCGTTACAGCCTGGCTCACCGCTGCCTGCTCCTTCTCCTTACACTGAGCAGACAGGGGGTCTTACTGAGCGTCGTGAGCCTGCGTCGCGTCCTGTCCGTTCTGGTCGTCCTGGTCGTCGTGTTCCTCGTTCGCGTCAGCCGGCTGTCACTGGCACCCACCTCGTAGTCCGTCGTCCTCGTGTTCCTATCCTCCGCAGCGTGTTCCCCTGCTGTCCCCTCCTGCGTCTTCTCTGCCTACCGTTCCTGAGCCTGAGTCTGACCGCACCCGTGCTGCTCACCCTACTGTCACGCGTCTGCTAGCCACTGTTGTCACTGACCCGTCGTTTGAGTCTGCTGCTGCGTCTGCCTTAGTGTCTGAGCTTCTTGACTTTGCTGCTGCCTGTCGTCTCGACTTTGCTGCTAGTCTTGTTGCTGAGTCTGAGTCTGTCTGTCCTCCGTCCGTCGGGGGTGAGTGTTCTCTTGGCACGGACGTCCTTGAGGACAGGCAGGAGGACCTTGAGTGTCTTGCAGCCGCTGCGCCTCATCTCGTGTCCATGCTGCTTGCCCCTGAGGGAGACCCGGATGCACCAGACATCCCGACCCCGCGCTCTTACGCTGAGGCGATCGCGGGTGAGTACTCCTCTCAGTGGCAGACAGCCATGGACGTAGAGATGGCATCCTGGAAGTCCACAGGCACTTACGTTGACGAGGTTCCCCCTCCTGGGGCGAACATCGTCAGTGGCATGTGGATTTTCAGGGTGAAGCGGCCGCCAGGTTCTCCGCCTGTCTTCAAGGCTTGTTACGTTGCTCGAGGTTTTAGTCAGCGAGAGGGAGTTGACTTCTTTCAGACCTTCTCCCCCACCCCGAAGATGACCACTCTTCGGGTGCTGCTGCACGTTGCCGCTCAGCGTGACTACGAGCTTCACTCTCTTGACTTCAGCACAGCTTTCTTACAGGGCAGCATGCACGAGGAGATCTGGCTGCGCCGCCCTCCTGGCTTCACTAGGTCGTTCCCTCCTGGTACCCAGTGGAGCCTCCGGCGGCCAGTCTACGGTCTCCGCCAGGCACCACATGAGTGGCACGACACACTGAGGACTACACTTGCGGCTCTTGGGTTTGCTCCGTCGACTGCTGACCCGTCGCTGTTTCTGCGCACCGACACGTCGCTGCCGCCGTTCTACATCCTCGTGTACATCGACGACTTGGTCTTTGCCACTGCTGACACTGAGGCTCTCGCCCTGGTGAAGTCGGAGCTGCAGAAGAGACACACGTGCACAGACTTGGGTGAACTGCGCAGCTACCTTGGCTTGCAGATCACCCGGGACAGAGCACGCCGCACCATCACACCGACTCAGTCATACATGGTGCAGCAGGTCCTTCAGCGCTTCGGCTTCACCTGGTCCTCGCCACAGCACACTCCTCTGGCTACAGGCCACTCGCTCTCAGCTCCACCTTCGGACGAGTCCGTAGAGCCGAGTGGCCCGTACCCAGAGCTAGTGGGCTGCCTCATGTACCTGATGACCTGCACTCGACCTGACCTTGCGTACCCTCTTGGCCTTCTGGCTCGCTACGTGGCTCCTGGTCGGCACCGAAAGGTGCACATGGATGCTGCGAAGAGGGTACTGCGCTACTTGTGCGGTACATCGGGCATGGGGCTCGTGCTTGGAGGGCGGAGCGCAGTTGTCCTCACTGGGCACTCAGACGCTTCTTGGGTTGACGACCAGGCTACGCAGCGGTCGTCACAGGGTTACACCTTCAGCCTTGGCTCTGGTTCAGTTTCTTGGCATTCTACACGCTCGTCTTCTGTTCTCAGCTCCAGTTGTGAGGCTGAGATCTACACCACAGCCATGGCTGCACAGGAGTTACGCTGGCTCACCTACCTGCTGACCGACTTGGGAGAGCGGCCTCGTTCTCCTCCAGTGCTGTACGTCGACAACAAGGCCGCCATTGCCTTGTGTCAGGAGCACAGACTGGAGCACAGAACGAAGCACATCGCTCTGCATTACTTCATGGCTCGAGAGTTGCAGCAGCGTGGTCAGCTTCGTCTTGCTCACGTGGCCACTCGGGCCAACATTGCTGATATATTCACCAAGGCACTTCCGTCTGGTGATCATCAGCGTTTCTGCACTTTGTTAGGCCTTGTGCCCACTTTGCCTCACTTGCTGTAGACTTTGTTTGTACTGTGATCTATATATATACCTGCATGCTTGCTCTGCTAGGTAGAGATCACTGTGCTGTTGTTGTTGCATATATACCTCTGCATGTGAACTGGCCTTGTGGCCCTTTGCTTGTGCTCAGTGTGGTGACGTTGTGATCCACCCTGAGCTTGCTTTGCTTCGCTTGACTAGTCTTGTGACCCCTTGCTGGGCTTCCCGCACACGTGGTGGTGGCAGGATTGGCAGAGGCGCAAGGCGCATCAGCCATCGCTGTACAATGGGTCCAAGTTCAGAGTGAGTCACTTCTGCCTTTGCTGGTACTTTTGTCATCTTGAGCCTTGAAAGTAGGGTGGTGGTGAGACTCTATGCCCTTGATATTATTGGTTTACAATCACCCTCAGTGTGTATCCTGTTGACGCTCCCTTTGCTGTTCACATTCCCCACCACCCCCAAAATCCCCACCCCCCATGCTCCCATGCACCCATCAGTACGGGTTTTCTTTCTTTGCAGCCGCAATCCTTTACACCCTGGGACTTTCGATTCCACTCAGAGGCTCCCCCCTTTCCCCCCCTCTCCCCCGCCCCCCACGTCCCAATCCACACGGCCCTCATGCGCACCTCAGTACGGTGGGTTTTTGCTGCATCCCCCATCCGTCGCCCCGCAATTTCAAGCCCACTTCCTCCCTTCCCCTCCCTCTCCCCCACCCTTTACCCCTCCCTCCTCCCCGCTCCCTTTTCCCTGCCTGCACCTCCCCTGATACACCCCTATCCATGCCCGCATCGCATGCACTTTGCAGTATGGTGGGTTCTCGTTGCATCCCCCATCCTCCGCCACCTCCCCCTCTGCTGCTGCTGCTGCTGCTGCTGCTGCTGCTGCTGGGGCATCGGAAGCGCCTCAAGGTTCAGAAGCAGCGGAGCGAGGTGTGCAGGGCAGCCCCCGTGTGTGCCTGCACCTGGGTCTCACGGATTACAAGTGAGTACTCAGCACGAGCCTGTGTGTGCCCATGCTTCCCTCTGCTGCTGCTGCGCCATCGAGAGCATCTGAAGGTTCAGAAGGGCCAGAAGCGGCAGGGGAAGGTGTGCAAGAAAGCCTGAATCTGGGCCTCACGGACCACAAGCGAGGAAAGGGGGGGAGAAAGGGGAGAGAGGGGGAAATGGGGAAGGATAGGGAGAGGGGAGAGGAGGGAGAGAGGGGAGAATGGTGGTAACCAGCATGCACCTGGACCTCATGGATCACAAGTGAGGCAGAAAAGGGGAAATTGGGGAAGGAGGGGAGGCGTGGGGGATGGGTGGTGAGATGAGGCATGCAGGGGGGAAGTGAAGGCATTTGGACCAAATGCGGATGCATGGCTAGAGACAGGCGTCTTGGCTCGCAGAGCCACGCACGGCACATCGAGGGCGACCAATCGGTTTTGAGAATTCTAAAAGTGATTTCAGCACGTTGTGGGTGACCAACCGGCCATGAGGGTCTTGACCCCCCCAGCCCAGCTTCGGTGCTTTGATGTTGGTCTTAACCACATGTATTGTTTCGTTTCAGAACCCAGACGAATTGCTTTATATTCCAAGGTAATTGGGTGGTTACAATCTGAAGGTCAACCAGCGTGATTCCCAACAAATGCTAGACTAGATTAGACTAGATTCAGGTACATTTTATGAATGCTCTCTCATCATCCCGTCATCACTTGCACTATCCTCGCACGCACTGGCCATCTCGCATCTTCCCAGCACCCTATCGTCGACTCCTCAATCTTGCACTCCTCGCCTCATCCCACTTCTCCCCCATCACCACCTCCTCATCTCTTGCACTGCTATTCTCGCACCACTCCCCTTGCACCTCTCCCACCTCATGACCCCATCAGAAGCCTCATCACGACCAACCTCTGCTCCGACTGGCGAAACTTCCTTGCGCCTTCCTTCTCCGGCAGCACTTTTGCCAAGCGCCTCAAAATAGCTGAGGGGACGGGCAGGGGTGGGGCAGGAGGAGCCGACGGGGTGGCTGATGAAGGGGAGAGCGTTGAGGGGGCATGCAGGGACGAAGGCGTGGGAGGGGGTTCCAGGGAGTGTGGTGCTGGCAGGGATGTTACTGTGATGGCGCAGGATGGTGATGAGCCTGGCAATGCTGCTCCTGCTGCCACTGCTTCCGCTGCTGCTACTGATTCCCAAGAATGCCACCATCCCAAAGAGTCTGGTGAACGTATGGCTGCCTGTGCCACGTGTCAGCAGGCCATAGGCCAGCGAGACGTGCAAGCATGTCAGCATATGGGGGACGCACTGGGAAATGCGGCCCTGGTGGTGACGGCTGATGGGTGCTTCCTGCTGCTGCAGCGCGGCACGGCTGTGGGCGAATTCCCAAACTGCCCAGTTTTCCCTGGAGGACACCCGGAGGTAACACCATCCATCCACCCCTCATTCCCTCGCCCCTCATTCCCAACCCTCTTGCTGTTCTCTCTGCACCCCTTGTTTTCCCTGAGTTTTCCCAACCTTTCTTCCCCCCCTTTCTCTTCTCCCTCCTCTCTCTTTACATTCTTCCCGTAATTTCTCTTCTCCCTCCTCTCTCTTTACATTCTCCCCCTACTTTCTCCTCTCCCTCCTCTCTCATCACTAGACATTCTCCTCTTCTCTCTCTATCCCTCCCATCACGCACACCACGGCAGCCATCAGAGGCAGGGATCTCTGACACACCACAATCTCCCCCCGCCCAACACCACCCTACCGACCCGCAATCCTCCACCACCCCTGCCTCTCCTCCGCTGTCTTCTACCGACTCCCCCTCCTCATCGCCCTCTCTTCTCAACGCCACGATCGCACATGAGATGTTTGAAGGCATGAAGCGAGAGGTAGAAGAGGAGACCGGCGCCCCTGCCGACTCCCTTGTAAGCTCTCCTCCTCACACTCCTCACCCTCTTCTCACACTCTCTCTTTCACTTTCTCAATCGCTCGCTCCTTCCCCTTTTGCGCGTGCCTCCCCCTCCTCATCGCCCTCTCTTCTCAACGCCACCATCGCGCATGAGATGTTTGAAGGCATGAAGGGAGAGGTGGAGGAGGAGACAGGCGCCCCTGCTAACTCCCTGGTGAGCTTTCCTCCTCACACTCACTCTCACCTTCTCTCGTCTGCCACTTGTCTTTTCTTCGTAACACATGCTCCTCACCCACTGCGTATTCCCATACACTTGGCTCTTCATGTCCCACACCTTGTCTTCCCCCTCCTCTCCCCCCCAGCACGGCATGCTCTTCCTTGGTCTGTGCAGGCGCAAGGAGAACATGCGATCGCTCGCCATGTTCCTCTGCCACACTGCACCACCCATACAAATGGCTGTTCATGTTCCCCACCTTGTCTCCCCCCTCCCTTCTCCTTCTCTCCCCAGCACGGCATGCTATTCCTGGGCTTGTGCAGGCGAAGGGAGAACGTGCGGTCCCTCGCCATGTTCCTCTGCCACACCTCCCTCACAGCACCAGAGGTGCTCTCTTGCTACGCCTCTGCACAGCACAAGTTCGAATCTACCAGCCTCAGAGCCGTGCCATTGGTACGTGGCGGGATGTGCTGGTATGTATGTGCCATGCCGCCCTTTCTTTGCTTACACCTCTGCGCAGCACAAATTTGAGCCCACACCAGCCTCAGGGCCATTCCACTGGTATGCCGCTGGTACTTGTGGGTGATGCCATGTGGGTGATGCCATGTGGGTCATGATGCCATGTGGGTGATGCCATGTGGGTAATGCCATGTGGGTGATGCCATGTGGGTGATGCCATGTGGGTAATGCCATGTGGGTGATGCCATGTGGGTGATGCCATGTGGGTGATGCCATGTGGGTGATGCCATGTGGTTGATGCCATGTGGGTGATGCCATGTGGGTGATGCCATGTGGGTGATGCCATGTGGGTGATGCCATGTGGGTGATGCCATGTGGGTGATGCCATGTGGGTGATGCCATGTGTTTGATGCCATGTGGGTGATGCCATGTGGGTGATGCCATGTGGTTGATGCCATGTTGGTGATGCCATGCCATGTGGGTGATGCCATGTGGGTGATGCCATGTGGGTGATGCCATGTGGTTGATGCCATTGCGGAGAGTCACTCGACAACGGTAGTGAGCTAGACTACGGGGGTTGGCACGAACTACTAGGAGTGATCATAGCTTTGCTTAGTTCGTTAGTGCTTGCACATTCATGGGAGAAGTTGGCAAGAGTTTCCACTAGCAAAGTTGGAATTACAGAATTATTAAAACAAGCAATGACAACAATGACTACATCAGGCACCTAGCAACTCTTCAGCTAGCCTGGTCGACCGCCAGCACAGCTTGGTCGACCGCCTGCCAGCATTGCGTAGAGGAGCCGTGCCAGCACTGCAGAAGGGGGACCTGCCAGCACTGCAGGTCGACGGCGTGCCAACGCTGCAGCAAAGCGGCTGTCCAGCGTTGCCCCGTAGAAGAAAGCAGTGCGCACGCTCGCATGTGTGCACAGACGATTGGTCCGACTTGCACCGTTGAGCATCCGTCGGCTGTTGTCTGCGCCTGACGAGCCACATTGACTTCGGGATACCAACACAAAGTCGCCTTCGTCATCGCGCCCTCGACGACGTTCGCGTGCCTCCGTAGAACTCGTCGAGCAGGTTACGCGGTCGACCTGGTCGACCACCAAGTGCTCTAATCGACCACCACTGCCTGTGGTCGACCACCAGGTGCCTCTGGTCGACCACCAGGTGCCCCTGGTCGACCACAGCTCCCGTCGAGCTACTCCCTGGTCGACGGACCCCTTCCGTCGACCAGAACTGTCAGCTGTTGTCGCCGAGCTCCCCTCGTCGACCGCTGCTCACATGTCAGGTCGACGGACTGCTCCGTCGACCTCCCGGTCGAACTGCTCCTCCTGGTCGACGGCCCACTCGTCGCCCAGCCCAGTCAGCTGTAACCGTCGAGCACCCCTGGTCGACGGAAACACCACAGTGATCCCTGCAGCTAGACGAAGCCCGTCGAGCAGCTCCCTCACTGTGTACGGTCGGCTGCTTCTCCCGTACATCCGACCAAGTCGTCGGCGTTGCCCAAGCGAGGCCGGGGCCAACACTTCACTCCCGTTAACAGCCATGTGGGTGATGCCATGTGGGTGATGCCATGTGGGTGATGCCATGTGGGTGATGCCATGTGGGTGATGCCATGTGGGTCCTCTGTCATACCTCCCTCACGGCACCAGAGGCACTCTCAAGCTACGCCTCTGCTACACCAGAGCACAAGTTCGACTCCACCAGCCTCAGAGCCGTGCCTCTGGTAGTTAGGATGGTATGGTTGGGGATGTGCTGGTATGGGGGATGGTATGGCTGGGGATGTGCTGGTATGGGGGATGGTATGGCTGGCGATGTGCTGGTATGGGGGATGGTATGGCTGGGGATGTGCTGGTATGGGGGATGGTATGGCTGGGGATGTGCAGGTATGGGGGATGGTATGGCTGGGGATGTGCTGGTACGGTGGATGGTATGGCTGGGGATGTGCTGGTATGGGGGATGGTATGGCTGGGGATGTGCTGGTATGGGGGATGGTATGGCTGGGGATGTGCTGGTACAGGGGATGGTATGGCTGGGGATGTGCTGGTAGGGGGGATGGTATGGCTGGGGATGTGCTCGTACGAGGGATGGTATGGCTGGGGATGTGCTGGTATGGGGGATGGTATGGCTGGGGATGTGCTGGTATGGGGGATGGTATGGCTGGGGATGTGCTGGTACGGGGGATGGTATGGCTGGGGATGTGCTGGTACGGTGGATGGTATGGCTGGGGATGTGCTGGTACGGGGGATGGTATGGCTGGGGATGTGCTGGTATGGGGGACGGGGGATGGTATGGCTGGGGATGTGGTTGTACGGGGGATGGTATGGCTGGGGATGTGCTGGTACGGGGGATGGTATGGCTGGGGATGTGCTGGTACGGGGGATGGTATGGCTGGGGATGTGCTGGTACGGGGGATGGTATGGCTGGGGATGTGCTGGTATGGGGAATGGTATGGCTGGGGATGTGCTGGTACGGGGGATGGTATGGCTGGGGATGTGCTGGTACGGGGGATGGTATGGCTGGGGATGTGCTGGTACGGGGGATGGTATGGCTGGGGATGTGCTGGTACGGGGGATGGTATGGCTGGGGATGTGCTGGTATGGGGGATGGTATGGCTGGGGATGTGCTGGTATGGGGGATGGTATGGCTGGGGATGTGCTGGTATGGGGGATGGTATGGCTGGGGATGTGCTGGTATGGGGGATGGTATGGCTGGGGATGTGCTGGTACGGGGGATGGTATGGCTGGGGATGTGCTGGTACGGGGGATGGTATGGCTGGGGATGTGCTGGTACGGGGGATGGTATGGCTGGGGATGTGCTGGTACGGGGGATGGTATGGCTGGGGATGTGCTGGTATGGGGGATGGTATGGCTGGGGATGTGCTGGTACGGGGGATGGTATGGCTGGGGATGTGCTGGTATGGGGGATGGTATGGCTGGGGATGTGCTGGTATTGGGGATGGTATGGCTGGGGATGTGCTGGTTGGTATGGGGGATGGTATGGCTGGGGATGTGCTGGTATGGGGGATGGTATGGCTGGGGATGTGCTGGTACGGGGGATGGTATGGCTGGGGATGTGCTGGTATGGGGGATGGTATGGCTGGGGATGTGCTGGTATTGGGGATGGTATGGCTGGGGATGTGCTGGTTGGTATGGGGGATGGTATGGCTGGGGTTGTGCTTGTATGGGGGATGGTATGGCTGGGGATGTGTTGGTATGGGGGATGGTATGGCTGGGGATGTGCTGGTATTGGGGATGGTATGGCTGGGGATGTGCTGGTTGGTATGGGGGATGGTATGGCTGGGGATGTGCTGGTACGGGGGATGGTATGGCTGGGGATGTGATGGTATGGGGGATGGTATGGCTGGGGATGTGCTGGTATGGGGGATGGTGTGGCTGGGGATGTGCTGGTACGGGGGATGGTGTGGCTGGGGATGTGCTGGTATGGGGGATGGTATGGCTGGGGATGTGCTGGTACGGGGGATGGTGTGGCTGGGGATGTGCTGGTACGGGGGATGGTGTGGCTGGGGATGTGCTGGTATGGGGGATGGTGTGGCTGGGGATGTGCTGGGACGGGGGATGGTGTGGCTGGGGATGTGCTGGGACGGGGGATGGTGTGGCTGGGGATGTGCTGGTACAGGGGATGGTGTGGCTGGGGATGTGCTGGGACAGGGGATGGTGTGGCTGGGGATGTGCTGGTACAGGGGATGGTGTGGCTGGGGATGTGCTGGTACAGGGGATGGTGTGGCTGGGGATGTGCTGGTACAGGGGATGGTGTGGCTGGGGATGTGCTGGTACAGGGGATGGTGTGGCTGGGGATGTGCTGGTACAGGGGATGGTGTGGCTGGGGATGTGCTGGTACAGGGGATGGTGTGGCTGGGGATGTGCTGGTACAGGGGATGGTGTGGCTGGGGATGTGCTGGTACAGGGGATGGTGTGGCTGGGGATGTGCTGGTACAGGGGATGGTGTGGCTGGGGATGTGCTGGTACAGGGGATGGTGTGGCTGGGGATGTGCTGGTACAGGGGATGGTGTGGCTGGGGATGTGCTGGTACAGGGGATGGTGTGGCTGGGGATGTGCTGGTACAGGGGATGGTGTGGCTGGGGATGTGCTGGTACAGGGGATGGTGTGGCTGGGGATGTGCTGGTACAGGGGATGGTGTGGCTGGGGATGTGCTGGTACAGGGGATGGTGTGGCTGGGGATGTGCTGGTACAGGGGATGGTGTGGCTGGGGATGTGCTGGTACAGGGGATGGTGTGGCTGGGGATGTGCTGGTACAGGGGATGGTGTGGCTGGGGATGTGCTGGTACAGGGGATGGTGTGGCTGGGGATGTGCTGGTACAGGGGATGGTGTGGCTGGGGATGTGCTGGTACAGGGGATGGTGTGGCTGGGGATGTGCTGGTACAGGGGATGGTGTGGCTGGGGATGTGCTGGTACAGGGGATGGTGTGGCTGGGGATGTGCTGGTACAGGGGATGGTGTGGCTGGGGATGTGCTGGTACAGGGGATGGTGTGGCTGGGGATGTGCTGGTACAGGGGATGGTGTGGCTGGGGATGTGCTGGTACAGGGGATGGTGTGGCTGGGGATGTGCTGGTACAGGGGATGGTGTGGCTGGGGATGTGCTGGTACAGGGGATGGTGTGGCTGGGGATGTGCTGGTACAGGGGATGGTGTGGCTGGGGATGTGCTGGTACAGGGGATGGTGTGGCTGGGGATGTGCTGGTACAGGGGATGGTGTGGCTGGGGATGTGCTGGTACAGGGGATGGTGTGGCTGGGGATGTGCTGGTACAGGGGATGGTGTGGCTGGGGATGTGCTGGTACAGGGGATGGTGTGGCTGGGGATGTGCTGGTATGGGGGATGGTGTGGCTGGGGATGTGCTGGTACAGGGGATGGTGTGGCTGGGGATGTGCTGGTATGGGGGATGGTGTGGCTGGGGATGTGCTGGTACAGGGGATGGTGTAGCTGGGGATGTGCTGGTATGGGGGATGGTGTGGCTGGGGATGTGCTGGTACAGGGGATGGTGTGGCTGGGGATGTGCTGGTATGGGGGATGGTGTGGCTGGGGATGTGCTGGTACGGGCCGTGCTCATAGCCCCAACCTCTCTGTGTCTCGAGGCTGTGCCCCGAGCTGTCTGCACGGCCCTGACAGCAATGACTGGTGCATCTGTCCGTGAATGTCCCCATCCCGCCTCTCACTAGCCTGGGCCTGCACTCGCTGCCTCCATCCCTACCTATCAACCCCCATGCCCATCTCCTCCACCATACCATCTCTTTTTTCATCCCCCATCGTATTTCCCCTCCTGCCACGTCATCCCCCTTGCAGGCTGCATTGCTGACAGAGGCTCGTTTCATGCCAGGCTGTCACATGGGCAGCGCTGTGCTGGCCTACTGCCACCTCACCCTTCATGACCATCTGTCACCCACGTGCCGTAATCTCCCGATGAAAAGCACTCTCAGGGTTTAGGACCCAAGGGCCTTTTATCCGGATATAGGGTCGTGTGACAGTCCTCATAAGGACCTGGGTGTTCTGATTCGGCATTTTAAGTTCCCGTGATTTCTCTTTTCGTATGTTAGTGTCACTGCTTGCGGAGGCGTGACGAGGCCACAGAACAGGACAAAATAGCTGTCATAAAACTGATATACAGGTTGTAGTTTTCCTCAATATAATGCAAAATGCTCAGAGGTCTTCTAGGAATATGCCAAGCTTATTGTCAACCCTATCTCTCTTTGCCCAATTTTAGACAAGAGCCCTTGGGGTTTATTATAGGGGGAGAGGGGAGTGGGAGTGTTGGGGGTTGGGAGGAAGAGGAAGGATTTCGAGCTGAACTTCTAGATTAAGAAAAGAGACTTACATGAAACGAAGGATGTGTGGCAAAATAATTAGTTCCCTCCCCCCCATGGCCCCCCCAAGGTCCCCCAACGCCCCTCACAGCCTCTCACAGCCCCCCTCACATAGCCTCCCCCACATAGCCCCCCTCACACAGCCCCCTCACACAACCCCCCTCACACAACCACCTCGCACAACCCCCTCACACAACCCCCCTCACACCACTCCCTCACGCAACCCCTCACACAACCCCCTCGAATTGCCCCACATCCCTGGGCGGCCAGAGCATGGCTTTTGCTTCAGTTCGTCCCTGCCTCTGTTTCTATTTCACTTCTCTTCCGTCCCTGTCTCTGTTTCTCTTTCTCCTTCTCTTCCATCCCTGTCTCTGTTTCTCTTTCTGTTTCTCTTCCGTCCTTGTCTGTGTTTCTCTTTCTCTTTCTCTTCGGACCCTGTCTCTGTATCTCTTTCGCTTTCTCTTCCGTCCCTGTCTCTGTTTCTCTTTCCCTTTCTCTTTCTCTTCTGTCCATGTCTCCGTTTCTCTCTCTTTCTATGTGTTCCTGTTTGTTTCTGTTTCTCTTGCTGTTTCTGTTTCTGTCTGGCCGGGCTCCCCCAGGGTCTGGCCTTACCTCCCCGGACCTTTCCAAGCCGACCCTACCTTCTTAGGCATGGCCTGGACATGGCCACACCATCTCACAGTATGAAGCAAGCACATTAGTACATACAAGATGCAATTGTTAGCCTACTTCCTATCCTACATATTCATTGCATCTTCATTGTATTTGAATCTCATTATGACGCACAGGAGAAAATGCCATCTGCGCAACATTTGGTGGGGTCGGGTGTGTCAGAAAACTGAAGCGATCACAAAGGTTTAGATGTGCCTACTATGGGCACTCGATAGAACTCAGTGAAGACATGAACTGTCCAGACCAAGGCCAGCTGATTGGGAAAATTTTGCACGGGTTGAACACGGGCCTATAGCGGGACGTGCACGTGCGGATCTTCGATCAAGGGTCCAAGGCGATGCTGAAGGAAGCGTATGAAGTAGTGAAAAGGGTGGAGACAGGAAGGTGTTGTTACAAGGTGGAACTGATGGGAGATCGGGGGTAGGAGCGACGGCGCCCCGCATGGACAGCAACTGCCGCGGCTCAAGGACCAGAAGGGCGAGCCATGGTTGGCGCCCGCAGGTGCCACAACTGTGGTAAACCTGGCCACCTACAAAGGGACTGTCGAAACCCGGCGGCGTGTTCGTTATGTGGGGATCGCGCACATATGCGCAAGGAATGCCAGGAGGCGCCGACGTGCGAGTGGTGTGGCCACCGCGGACATCGGGAACCTGCGATTCACAAGCTTCACATGATTCACAAGCTTTGCGGTTTAATTAAAAATAAAAATAAAAAAGTTCGCGCAATTGCTAGGCCAACCGTAGAGAATTTTGGGGAGGGGCGGAGACAGGGGGCAGGCAATTCACCAAGGCACGCTTGAGGGCGCAGCTGCCAGAGATGGAAGCGGCAGAAGAATGGCGACTGGTAATGTTAGCACAAGAGGAAGAAGAGGCGAGCGAGACGGATTTCATGCTTATGGCCAGACCGGCGCGGGACCGAGAAGAGCTGGGACCGAGATCACGAGCCAGGAGCTAGCTATTCCGGCAGGACGAGAGGTGAGAGGATGGACTGCGTCATCAGGCGAGCCCGAAAGAAGAAGGGGAAGGCGCTGTGTATCGTCATCCTCAAGAGCGCATGACATGTCAGGCGACGGTGCTGACGATAGAGCCAGGAATAATCACGGTGGGAGGGCTGGCGGCGCGACAAGCAATCTTGGATACTGGAGCTGCACATGTGTTGATAGGGAGGCGGCTGGTGGAGAAGCTACAACTGAAGCTGCTAGGGCGGCTGGTGGAGGAAGGCTACCTGCTGATGACGGTGGAAGGGGGTGAAGCTAAATGGATGCCAAGCACAACGAGGCCAATGGAACTTGTGCTGAACCCGGGTACCACGGAGGAGTGCCTACTGAGGGTGTGTTGCGGGATATCCGGGTTAGAAGACTTTGACTTACCCTTTGGGGTCGAGTTACTGTACGGGGTAGGATCCACCATCTGCATGAGAGGGGAGAAGGTGTAATATCGGTACTAGGACAACAGGGACCCGATTGGACAACTGCCAGTGAGATTTGTGCGAAGGGAACCGAGGGAGGCCTATCAGTGTAGTGAGCTGGAGCTGCGAAAGGATCTAGGGGTTTTCAACCGGTGGCAGCTAGAAATGACACGGAAGCAGCCACCGCACGAGGAGGGGGCGGAATTAGTGCTGACGGAGCTGTGCACCAACACCAAACGTCTGCTGGGAGCGACGGTGGTGCTGGAGCTGTTCGGCGGAATTAGTACCGGATTAACGCCACCGTTGGAGGCTGGGGCGTTGGTCAACAAGTCGAATCTCGTTGAAAAATATGATGAGGCGATGAAGATGGTGTGCTGGCATGCAGAGAAGCTGCAGAAGCGGTACATGCACCATTTTACTAGGGGCGCACTAAAGGCAAGCATCAATAGTTATAGCGGTGATGTCTGCCACGTGGATGAGACGACGATTCGGCAGAGGGGAAAGATCGATATAGTGATCCCTGGTTGGGAGTATCAAGGCTACTCACAGGCAGGAGAGGGGCGAGGCATGAGAGATGAGGAGAGCAGGCTGTTCAGAGAGTTAGTGAGGGTGCTGAAGCTTATCAAGGTGGTCCAAGGGGATGTGCTGTACATGGTGGAAAATGTAGACATTGAAGGGGATGTGAAGAGAGCAAGTGCAAGTGGTGCATGAGGAAGTAACGGCCGAGATAGGCCCGGGGTTAGCGTGTGACGCGATGCAGCCGGGAAGCAGGATGCATCGAGTTAGGCGGTACAGGACGAATGGAGTCGCCGAGGCGGCGCAGCGGTACCGGACTCTCCCTGATAGAGAAGCCCGTGCCGCTGCTGGTGCGGGACATATTAGAGCCGCGACGAGTGCCAGCGCCAGTATGGTACCCCGACCATCCAATGCAATTCCCGTGTACTGAAGTGGGGAAGCCAAGGCGAGTCTGGCCAATGCTGGTTTCATTTCAAGGGGCGAGCACCTTCATTGTGCGAGAGGGGATAGCTGGACACGGCATGGTGTGCGATTATAGCTCAGAGAGTTGGGAGGAGCCAACCGCCGTGGAGAGAGAGCTCGCCATGGGTTTCATGGAGGAGGCAACGGCGCACCCAGAAGTGTACGAGCAAGCGAGAAGGAGAGCGCTTGGGTGGGCAATGGACCTGAACGTCATGCATTGGTTGGTGACCACCGTCAGGATGTACCACTCGCAGGCCAGGTGGGAGAGGAACCGAAACAAGGTCGTGGAGGTGCGCCCACAGACCGCGCGAGGAGCTGCCAAGGAAGCCTTGGCCATGGCAATGCTGGGAGAATTGGAGGAGACAGAGCGGACGCACACGTCCTCGGGCACCTCTGGAAAGGAGATGGGTATACCCTTGGGAGGTGGAGGAAGAGGGATCCGGTCAATACGCGGACCATGCGGAGGCCCAGCTGCCCACGATAAGGGAGGAGGAGTTGGTGAAGACGAGGGAGGACCTCAGGTGGGTGGAAGAGGCAATAGACTGGCAAGGAATCCGGGAGCACATGAGAGTTTGCCCTTATGGCGTGTACCACGGAAGGAAGGGAAGCAGGGTGAGGACGATAAGGCGCCAGAAAGCAAGGATCGGGAGGGACAGGAAGGAGGAGAGGAGGAGCAAAGGCAGAGTAAGAGGAGGCACCTGAGAGTTTGCCCTGATAGCTGCGTTGGAGGGGGGGTGCCAGCCAGGAGTAGGAGGCAAGAACGAAGGCATGGGAGGTGGGAGAGGGAATGTCCGAGGAAGATTTCAACGAGCTGCAGGAAGTGCTGAAGCAGCACCGTGCAGCATGTGCCGCTCAAGGAGGTGGGGGTGTGCAAGATAGAAGAGATTACAATTGAGCTAACGACCGAGATCCCGGTAACTAGCGCCGCTGGAGGATGACTTCAGAGGAAACGAGGATATGCACGGAGAAGTGCCAGGAGCTGCTGAAAGCGGGGCTGATAAGGCAGTCAAACTCGGAGTACGCGGCAGCCACATGTGTGGCGGTTCGGAATGACCTAACAAGGAAGGTGCTGTCGAAACGAATGTGTGGAAATTACCGTGGCCTGAGCAAAGTGACGGTGATGAAGCACTACCAGACCCCAATGGCGGATGAGATATTCAACAACCTGACAGAGGCACAAGTTTTCTCTACACTGTTCTTGCGTCAGGGGTTCAATTAAATCCCCAAAGCGGAGGCGGACCGGAAGAAAACGGCGTCTCATGGGCCGGACTTGCAGTATGAGCGGAACAGTATGCCATTCGGGCTGAAGTGCACCTCGGCCGAATTCTAGAGAGTGATGGATCAGGTGCTTTGTGACGTGCAGCATGCTGCATGCTACATAGACGACTT